CACTAAAATATAACTTTTGTAATATTAATTTGCATATCTACCTTCTTGCTCATGAAAGTTAGAATCGCTTTCCTATGATGGATGACTAGATGTTAAGTCTGCATCAGAGTGAGGAAATGAAAACTTTTCCAATCCAAATGCAACAGAAATAACAGATTTTTAAAGAAACATGATATGGTTTATATTGTACCTAGAGCAAATTATTTTATTGTAATTGCTTTATAAGTCACAAGCACTTTTGAAAACAAATTTATTGCCATTTTTGAGTGTATGTTTATGAGTTTGATAAAACTTATTCCAAGTGTGTACAGGTGACACACTAGAAAAGAGAATATTAGATCGCATGGACCTGGAATAGCAGGAGATTATGAGCCTTCCAACTTCAGTGCTGAGATCTGTAATATGAATTAATAAAAGACCCAGAGACTGATGTTGGGGTTCAAACTTTAAGCTGATGCTCAGAAAAGCAAAGTAGCACCGATACTGTGATTGGGACCTCTTGAAACTGAGAAACTTCTGTAAGACAAAATAGCAGACCACAGAATGGGAAAAGATCTTCACCAACCCCATATCTGACAGAGGGCTGGTTTCCTAAATATACAAAGAACTCAAGAAGCTAGTCAGAAAAACACCAAATAATCCAATTAAAAGGTGGGGTACAGAACTAAATAGAGAATTCTCAACAAAGGAATATCAAATGGCCTAAAGGCACTTAAGGAATTGCTCAACATCCTTAGCCATCAGGGAAATGGAAATCAAAGCAACTCTGAGATACCATCTTACTCCTGTCAGAATGGCTAAAATCAAAAACTCCAATGACAGTTTATGCTGGAGAGGATATGGAGAAAGGGGAACACTCCACCACTGCTGATGGGAATACAAACTTGCATAGTCACTTTGGAAACTAGTATGGCAGTTTCTTAGGAAAATAGGAATCAATCTACCTTAAGACCCAGCAATTCCATTCTTAGGCATATACCCAAAGAATGCACACTCATACCATAAGGACATCTGTTCAACTATGTTCATAACAGCATTATTTGTAACCTAGATGCTCCTCAAATGAAGAATGGATAAAGAAAATGTGGTACAAATACACAATAGAGTACTACTCAGTGGTAAAAAATAATGAAATCTTGCAGTCAAATGGATGGAACTAGAAGAAACCATTCTGAGTGAGGTAGCCATGGCACAGAAAGATAAACATGGAATGTACTCACTCATAAGTGGATGTTAGACATAGAACAAAGGGATTACCAGCCTATAATCCACAACTCCAGAGAAGCCAAGAAACAAGAACCCTAAGAGACACATACATGGATCCCTGGAGAAAGGGAAAGAGACAAGATCTCCTGAGCAATTGGAACCACTGGGGGGAGGGGGAGGGAGGCAGGAGAGATAGGCGTGGAGATGGCAAGGATGGAGGATAACATGAGGGATCAGGAAGGTCGAGTTTGGGGAAGGACAGAGAAGGAGAGCAAGGAAAGGCATACCTTGATAGAGAGAGCCATCATGGACTTAACAAGAAACCTGGCACTAGTGAAATTACCAGGAATCCACGAGGATGACCCTCAACTAAGAATCTAAGCAATAGTGGAGAGGCTACCTTAAATGCCCTTCCCCTATAAAGAGATTGATGACTATCTTAAATGCCATCACAGAGCCTTCATCCAGTAGCAGATGGAAGTAGAAGTAGAGATTCACAGCTAAGTACTGAGCCGAACTCCTGGAATCCACTTGTAGAGAGGGAGGAGTGATGAGCAAAGGGATCAAGACCATGCTGGGGAAACCCACAGAAAGAGCTGACCTGAGCAAGTGGGAGATCATGGACTCCAGACTGACAGCTGAGAAATCTGCATAAGATTAAACTAGACCCCTGAATGTGGGTGTCAGTTGGGGGGGCTTAGGCTGTCTATGGGGCCACAGGTAATGGAACTAGTATTTATCCCTAGTGCATGAATTGGCTTTTTAGAGCCCATTCCCTATGGAGGGAAACTCTCTCAGCCTAGATACTGGGGTGGGGTGGGGCTCAGTTCTTCCCTAAATAATGTGACAGACTTGGATGATTCCCCCATGGGAGGCCTTACCCTCTCTAGGGAGTGAATGGGGGTGGGGGATGGGACGGGAGAGAAGGTGGTGGGTGTAGGAGGAAGGGAGGAAGAGGGAACTGGCATTGGTCTGTAAAATAAGACTGATTTAATTTAAATTTAAAATTAGTAAATTAAAAAAGGAAAGAAAAGTAGCTGACCACTAGCTCTCACCTCTAGCTCAGGCAGAAGGGCTGATCCAGAGACGAGCTCTTCACCAAGCCTCAAACTGCTGCCTCTCCTCAGTGTGGCTGGAGAATGAATGTGTCTTACTGAATACTGAAGACCCTGTTTCTATCTTTTATACCCCTCTAGTGCTGGGATTAAAGGCGCGAGCTCTGATCCTCTTTTAGACTGATTCAACTTTGTGTATCCTTGGATGGCCCTGAATTCAGAGAGACCTGTCTACCTCTTAACCCTGAGTCCTAGGATTAAAGGTGTGCACCACCACCTCATAGCTTCTAGCTGCTGGGATTAGAGGTGTGTACCTAGCTTCTATGGCTTGTTGCTGACTTTGCTTTCTGAATCCTCAGGCAAGATTTAATAAATCATAAAAAGTATATCACTATGGAGATCTGAATTCCGATCACTCCCACAAAGAACATGTATGTGCTGAGTGACCTATCAAGACCCATAGTACTTTTTATCCAATAAATTGTCTTTCACAAGTTACCAGCAACAAAGTCTAAATAAATATAAAAGTAAATAATGATCCTTGGAAATAGGATGCATCAATAAGATGTTGTATATGATCAATTTGCACCATAAATTGATTACAATCCAGTAACAATGCCCAACAATTTATAACAGGAAAGCAGATTCCAAAGCTACATACAAAAATGAAAACACTCAGAATACTCAATGGGATTATTGAAAATTAGTACACAGTTTGACACAATGTGACTTCCATATTTACTACAAAAGATACACTAAAGAAGAATATGTATAATATTTCTAAAAGAATAAAAGGAATAGAGAGAAAAAGCCAAGAACAAAAGCGGGAAAATAATAGTTATCAACGTTTAATCAAAAGATAAAGGAAACTCAGCCAGGATATGTGTGATCTTGACCAATGTTACTCACTTATCTATGATTCTATGCATATAGTAATGAAATAAACACAGACTTCACAACTCATGCAAAATTCACTCAGAGTGACCCGTTAACTGTTACGTTTCTGACCCTCCAGCTACTGATATTTCTTCCAAAGAGATGCCATACTCTAGACTTCTCTCTGCAAACAGAGAGCCTACTATGGCTCTACATACCCTCCTGCCCCCTTGTGGTTTCAGGCAAACCCAAAACCAAAACCAATCATGCCCAATCAGAACACAATATAGAAGAATAATTTAATAGCTGCTTCCTGCCACATGGATTATGGCACAAGACATAAAATCTGCCCTATCTACCTCCTCAACACCATGCATCTGATATCCCAAAGGGAATCACAAGCCCACAGGTTGAGAAAAACTGCTCTAAACTGATATATATATATAATAAACAAATAGCACTTAAGAAAAAAAACTAATGGAATTCTTAATGCCTAGGAAACATTAGAAAATAAAAAATAGAGATTATAGGAGTAATTCATTTAAAGAAACTGAAACTTAAAACGACCTCAATAATTGAGTTTTTTTAAATGATAAACATAATTAGAAGATCACTTAGCTATATTGACTTTGAAACAGCAGGCACTTCCCTGGTAGAGAGAATGTCATTAATTAGATATTGTGTAACTTTGTCCCACGTAAAATGTTAGCTGCTATGCTATATGCTGATGTGGATTTACAGGCAGTGGCCTCTGTCTCCAACCTCTGAGATGGCCTTAACTATGTCAAGCCAGGATTGCACATACCTGCATAGGAGTGTTCCCTAATTGGAAACTGAATACTCAGTAGTTCAAGTTACTCTTCATAAATTGTACACCCACCAATTGTCTGTTTTCATTCACATGGAAAAAATTAATACATGCTGGGAAATTACAGTCACCCTGCCCCATCAGGTCCTTCTTTGTAATGGGGACCCCTGCAGCTCACTGCCTTAACCTTCAGTCTGTGATCTAGCTATTGCCCAGTCTCTTTCCCCTGCAGTGTACATGGTAACTGTTCCTCCTCTTCTGCTCTGAAGGGAGAAGCCACGCTCCACACACAAACCCTTTTCCTGTCACTGCAATGGACAGTGCACTAGGCGACTCAAACTGGTAATTTTAGAATCTGTGGTGCTACAGACTTGTAAGCCAGGAATTTAGGGTGTTTAGTCAGGGGCATAACAAGGGCAATGCCCTGTGTGGCTACAAATAGGGTTCAAGTTCACCTCAACACAGGACACCTTGACTGACTCAAAACCACTTTTCAAAAGGACTGGAGATGCAGCTGTTCTAGAATGAATGCACCTTTACGGCACACCAGGACTTAATGTTGGCTGTGATCCTGTAATGGCCCCTTGGGCAGGAAGTCAGAGACCTGTTCTTTGATGGGGTGGGGTTGTTTCTGGTGGTTGTAAGTCAGGGTTGTCTCTTTTGTTTTGAGAATGTAGCTTAACGGGTGATTAATGCTCAAGAATACACATTTACATATTACCGTTCTAATCTCTAACATTAGCATGCTATTCTATGTTTGCATATTTGGGAGGCAGCTCTCCCTGAACTAAATTCTCCTTTGCGTGACTTAATGTCTCTGAGAATTATTACATCCTTATACCCTGAATTCCACTGTTTTACATCGCAGTTTAGCAGTGAACTGTTACTGTACACATGTGATACCATTTACAAGCTCCATTAACTCCAGGTGGATCCTAAACCTAAACGTTGACTGTTAAAAGTGCAGAACTTCTAAAGATAGTCGAGAGACAGAGCTCTCCGAGTTTGGTAAATCTGCCTTCCATGGTGACAATATAAGCACCACAGGCACCAACATTTCTCAGTGATGTCAACAAAGGGTTATTTCTAAGCACAGTCCGGCTCCCAGAGCTCTTCGCAGATGCAGCCTGCACAGTGAAGGTTTTCCGAGGCTGCCGCCTTGGCCAACGATGTTGCAAGGATCTCAAAGGTCCAAGCAGGACCAGCAGGACCAAGCCAAACTTGTCTGGCTGCTCGCTTTCCACCCATCCGGGCAGACTAAACACAACCAGCTCCTGTGGCTCAGCCGGCCGCTCCACCCACTCTGGGCATAGTGAACCCGTCACTCACCATGGCCAGCTGCAGAGCTCACACACGCTTTACCCCAAACGGAGCCCACAGTGCAGCACACAGGCAAACTTACAACGGCTTCCTCGGCTGAGCACCCGAGCCTGGCACCCGGAAGAACCCTCCTTTCTGACTGCAACTGAAGGGATACAACACCTTGATTCCCTGCCCTGGCTTCCACTCTAAACACAGACCTATCCCAGATTGACTGGCAATTTGTGCCAAATCCAACAGCAAGTATCTCGTTAATGTAAAGCTGATTGTGGGTTCATCACTCTGGAGACCAACTGTAGAGGTCAAAGGAAAACATCTGATATAAGGGGCTGACACCAGCAAAGGAACTCCTTTCCTGTCTTCTTCTGAGAGTTCAGCCTTTACGAGCGGCCCTTTGGAATGGTATCCCAATATTGTCACTTGGTGTCTCAAATTCAGCTGAAAAGCCAGATCGGTCATCGTCCTGATCCCATAATGACAGTATGCATTACTTCTTCAGAGGGGGCAGGGGTAAAAGTAGAGATATAAATCAACAAGGCAGTTTTGGGTAAAAAGACTCCAAACATATGTAAACAGTAACTTGCTTGACTAAAATTGAGAAGTGTCGCTGGGATTCTTAGCAGTTTTATTCTTGCCAAGAAAAAAAGAAAGGAAGAAGGAAGGAAGAATAAGGAATACAAAAAAAAAAGCAGGAAAAAGAAAAATTATTAATGAAAACATGGTATTTACTCAGTTTGACAAATTTGGAACAGAGGCAAAAATATAATATAACTAGTCCATCCTTGGTGTCCTAATAGGTTTAGATAGAAGGTAAGTGATATGCAAAGCTAAATAATTTAATGGAGCCATATAATTCATTTTTTCCATCTCTAAGGGCCTACCCCATTCTCAGCTCCTGTCTCTCCTGCAAGGTTGTGGATAAGGAGTAAATGTTTCTTCAGTAGAGACATTCTCATTGGAAGACTTTTCCCACAATGAGATTCTTGGGGAAATTAAAATTTTATGGATTCTACTTTTCACTAGTGTTGGCCAAAAACTGAGATATAAATGTTTCTTTAGAATACCCCCTTACTTCTACCACACAGGCAGGTTCCAGTGACTGACAGGGTGGGCGCTGAGGAGCTTTAAGGTCCAAGTGGAGACCTCACTGTGTGGGCCTGCAGGGTGATGTCACTGACAGCTACGTAGAGTGAAAAATAAACGAAAGAAGGAAAGACTTGAAGGAGCCTGAGGAAGCACAGCTCAGTGGATACAGAGAGCACATTAGGAACACCCCAAGCACTGCTCTCTGGACATTTGGTCCTCTGGCTTTCACACCCAAAGCTTCAGCTCAGTGGATACAGAGAGCACGTTAGGAACACCCCAAGCACTGCTCTCTGGACATTTGGTCCTCTGGCTTTCACACCCAAAGCTTCCCCTGAACACCTTCTCTACACACCACAGCTCTTTGTAAATGCTTAATTCCTCCAGCCTTATAGTGACTTCTGATGATAAATCTCAGGATCTCCTCACAACCCGGATGTCATCTGGAGTCACCATCACTCCAGTCTCCTAAGCAAAAGTTCCCTGGCATCAGAGAAGAATGCTATCCCATCCAGACAACTCAGTCTTTGTGGCTGCTAGTTCCCTTTTGCCCCTTACAGAAGGTATACATTCTTCATCATACTGACTACCTTCATGGGGCTTCTCTCCAGTGTGACTTCTTTTGTGTCATTGGCACAGGTAAAAGCTTTACCACATTCATTACACTGTTGAATCTTTATGTTTGCATGAATTAAGTTTATAATTTGGTCTGACTGTATAGAGGAATAAGATCTCAATGTTAAAACTTTGCACTCAAGGCATTCCCCTTCATTAAGGATTGTTTCGCATATTTGAAGATAACTGTGATGGTAACAGCCTTTGTTACATGGCTCATATTTACAGCATCTTTTTTTCTACACGAGATTTTTCACATATTTCAAGAGACTTGGAACAACTCAAGTCCCTAGCACACTTAATGCTTTCATAAACTTTCCTATACTGTGACTCATTCTACATTTGCAAAGTGAACCAGGACAAACAGAAGTGTTCATACATTCCTATACTCATAATGATTTTCTGCAGCTTGAGTTTGTTGATATATGCACAATGAAGGTAGAAAACTAAGTAATTGTAAAGTGGTCTCACATTGAATAAGTCTATTCAAAGCAGGGATGTCTAAACATCTTCTAATTGTTCTGGGAGGGAGAGATGCACATTGCTACTTCCTGCATCCCTATGCTCACACTGCTTGTGTCTAGAGTGACACATGATATACTGACTAAAGGAAGAATAACAGGTTTCTACATTGCATTAACACAATTCATCTTTTGGTTCCTCACAGACATGTGGTATTGGGATTAAGGTTTCTCTACAACAACCTTCTTGCTGCATGTAAACTGCCCCTCTCACTAAACATAGCAAGCTAGCAGTATATGAGTAACACTAACTTTACTATGGACTATTTGCTTATTAGATGGTTTTGAGCATATATTTATCTATGCAACATGTATACTTTTCACAATATCTGAGTGGTATGAAGCTAAACTGATTGGCAGTTCTACAGCATAGTGCTCATGGAGCTATGATTCAAATTGTGAATCAGTTAAGGCACTGTTTTCATGGAGGAATGATTTGCAAACACAGATCAGCCACCTGACATCGAGGTATATAGGTTTGTGAGAATTTAATAATTATCAATACACTTTAAGTGGTGCTTATTTATACTGTTTCTTTAACACTCCCAGGACACATTAAAATTTCTTAAGAGACACATTTACATCAGTTTGCACATGAAAATTATCTTTAATGTCTTTTAGAACTTTGACAATGATCTTCAATATTACAGTCTTCCAAACTATAGCCTAAAATATAGTACCAGACATATATGATACATTTTGGAAACTGTGCAATATTTAGATTAATATTTTCAGTGAACCTTAGAATCATGTCTGATTTATTCACTTCATTCTTCCTCTTTTTCAATAAAAAATTACAGAAAAGCTTCAATAATCTCATTTTAAAATGTGAAGGAAAGTTCACATTCTTACCTATTGCATGAGGCCTTGTAGTTTTCCAGCATCACATCTTTATAGAAACTCTTCTGGGAAGGATCCAGCAAAGCCCACTCTTCACAAGTGAAGTCGACATTCACATGATTATAGATTCTAAAATATTCCATACATGTGTGCAAAAGAAAGTGTGATACTGAGAGCGTTGTGAATGTACACTTTCTGACAATATATTCACATAATTCTGGTGTTCTGCACACTTATTCCATGACACAGAAGTTCCAATGTAATCACCAAGGCACTTTAGAAGAAAACTGAATAAGAGGTTCACTTCTGCCATTTCTGCGTCCTTTGACTAGGATATAGCCAAATAACGAACATAAAGATAGAGACAAGGAAGCAGATCAATAGTACTGAGTACACATCAGAGAAACAGTATGAACTAACTAGAAAACTAATCAGAAAAAAGATAGCCAAGCTGTATGTCACGTGACTCATGACTTTAATTCCAGCAGTCATGAGGCAGAGGAAGATGAATTTAATTGTTTTGTATGCCACCCTGGCCTATGCAGTGAGTTACAGGACAGCCAAAGTTATATATTAATAAAACATTGTCTCCCTCACAAAAAACAAAAATCAAAAAGAAAAAAAAAACGTAGAAAGAGTGAATTCCAGTTCAGGACTCAAATTCCAGAAACCTGAAATTCCCAGCTTAAATTATAACGTTATTATGATCTTGCTAAAAGGCAATGCATGTTTAAACAGTTACAAATGGATGAATAAAAACAGTGGGATAAAAAAAATAAAAAGCAATGGAAATGTTGATCATAAATAAACACCATAGGGCAGGAGAGATGGTTCAGTAGTTAAGGGCTCCTGCTGGTCTTGTAGATAGGTGTGCTCAACTGAAGATCCCAGTTTAAACTGTAACATCACTTACTAAAAGTCACTGCATGTTTAGAGTTACAAATGGATGAATGAAAACATTAGCAATGTAAATATTGATCATAAATAAAAAACATAGTGCAGGAGAGATGGCTCAGAAGAGTTCTTGCTGGTCATGCAGGTAGCTGTGTGCAATTCCCAGTATTTACATGGGACACACAACTATCATTTACTCCAAGTTCATGGGTTCCAAAGCCATCTTATGATTAATGTGAGGACCAAGCACACATTTGGTGCATATCTGTGCATACAGGCAACTATTCATATTCATTCAAAAGAATTCAAAACAAATACAATTGATAGGGAGAATGTCACACACCTGCAATCCAATGACTCTTAAGGCTTTCTAGTATTAATGTCATGCATACTGCTATCCTGGGAAAGAGAATGACACACTTTGCCAAATTTTAGAATGGAAGATGTTGGGTCAATCAGCACTACAGCATATGCTTGACATGTGCAAAAAACTACATTTCAGGTCCATCATCCAATAATACAAAAAGAATACAAACAAACAAATAATAAAAACAAAACAAACAAACAAAACAACCCAGCATATTGGCCCATCTTTCATCCCAGCACTTAGGACCCAGAATCATTTGAGTCTCTCAGTTTGAGGCAGCCTACCATACATAACTCCTTTCAGGACAGCCAGGACTATATAGACAAACGGTGTCTTCAAAATATATAAATAAATAAAACAACACAATTAAAAAAATGAAGCCTGGCAAAATGGCTTACACTGAATAGCAATTGATTCAACTGTGTCTTATGTGATTTAGTGAGAGCATTTAAAATAGCTTTGAAGGCATGGCCGAGTGAGAAGAAAAGTGGCTTATCAGTTTCAACAACATAATAGATTCAATAAGTAGAAAATGGGTTGAGGCTATTGTCATGCAAACCCGATCCCCAGTAAGGAATTTCATCCTGAAAGGCTTCTCCTACAAAACATCCCCCAAGCACCACAAAGAAAGCTGTCAAGGAGAGACAAGTATTCAAATACACCATCCAATCTGGGAGCTTTTCATTCAATCAACTATATTCTGACCCAGGTCACTACAGACTATGGTCATTCCTTCATGAAAATGCATTTAGTCAAACTTCAATGATCCTTGTAGTCTGCCATGGCTGCTACACTGTTCAGTGTGAAAAGCCACTTCTGACACTGAAGGCAACTGTTTGACATAACATCTTATAAAGTAAACAAGTTACATCTTTCTAACATGCAATGACACAGAATACTCATTCCAAAGGAGAGAAATGGGGACACAGAGAAGACTGGACAAAGGCAAGACTGCAACCCAGCAGGGCAAACATCAAATCGTATAGCTCTGTCTCAGACACATGGGGCTTCAGTTTCGAAGGACTTAGATGGCACTATCCCTGCAAATTCTCATACACTTCTCTCTTGGGTTACTTCCACTCCCTATATGCAGCTCTCCATGGCAGATGTCTACATCTTGTGGTCTCAGAATTCAACGC